TCTTAAATTTTATAAAGTATTTTCTTTCTTGTTTCTGCATGCCTTCGTGGAGTAACAGTAGCACACTCGGAGCGCATTTCAGAAGTCTAGGTTCGAGTCCGAGCAAGTGCAATCTTCATTTTTCGTGTTTCCTACTTCAAAAATCCTAATAACTCTAGTGGGGCCCGAGGTAGAAGGTTGGGGGACCAGGCTATTCGTCACCACCAGGATTTAGCGATTGGGTTCCCTAATCCCCAGTCACCGTTTAAAAAGGGAGTATATAAAGTATTTCCTTTCTCCTTCCAGCATGCCTTTGTGGTGTAATGGTAGCACACTCGGCGCGTATTCGAGAGATCCAGGTTCGAGTCCCGGCGAGGGCATTGCGTATTTTTCACGTTTCCTGCTTGAAAAAAAATCCTTATGATTCTACAATTTATATAATTAAAACAATTCTGTAAAATAGTTCAAAACACAGATTTTTTCGACAAAATTAAACAATGAATTTTTTTTATACAGTGCTCGACATTGAAAATGCAGCACCAAGAAGGAGTAGTCAGAAAGTGATGAAATTTGGAAAAAAGACAGAGACAGCAAGCAGCAATAAGTAATCTTTATTTCAAAATGATAGTCAGAATATACAGCGAGAACGGCATCGGCTCAGTAGGATGTAGGACCACAGCAGACAGCAATGCACGAAGAAACACGTCTAGGCATAGAATCAATAAGAGTGCGGATGGTGTCCTGAGGGAGGGCTCTCCATTCCCTTTCAACCATTTGTCACAGTTCGTCTTCTGAACGAGGCAGGGCAGAGTTTGCAAACGCCGTCCAATCACATCCCACACATGTTCGATTGGTGACAGGTCAGGAAAGTACGGTGGCCAGGGAAGCATCTCTATACCTTGCAGAGCATGTTGGCAGATGCCAGCACTCTGTGCTCGGGCGTTATCCAGCTGAAAAATTCCATTAGGCAGCCCCTGAAGGTAGGGGATTGCCACCGGTCGCAGTACATTATCTAAGCATCGTTGGGCCGTCATAGTGCCCTGAATACGAACTAGAGGTGAAGTGGAATCGTAGGCAATAGCGCCCCAAACCATTATGCCCCAAACCGTTCTCGCGCGGTGGGGCGTTCCACAGTTACTGCCGGATTAGATTTGTCTCCATGTCGACGCCACACACGTATGCGGCGACTGTCACTGGATAAACAAAAGCGTGAGTATCTGAGAACACGACGTTTCGCCATTCTGTCATCCATATCGCTCCAGTCCGGCACCATTCTAAACGTTGGTGTCTATGCTGTGGAGTCAATGGCAGTCTTCTTAACGGACGCCGTGAGTGCAGGCCACGTTCAATCAATCGACGGAAAATGGTTCTGGTCGACACGAGAATATCCAGGGTATCTTGCACATGCTCCAGAATCGCGGTACAAGTGACTTGCGGGACCGCCACAGCTTGTCGGCGGATGCGTCGATCCACGCGTGCTCACGTCACTCTGGCTGCACCTGTACCCCTCCTTCTTCCCACATTTCTTTGTTCCAACCATGTTCGCCATAGCCGATGCACCGTGCTCGCATCCATGTGGGTATCAGCTGCGATTTGACGTAAGGAGCAACCCGCCCTTCTCAGTCCGATCACCGTACCCCTCATAAAATCGCCTATCTGGCTGGAAGTGTCTTGACGGCATTAAAATCAACAACCCAAACTTTACAATCAGGTACGTCAAGCATTTTAAATTCTGGTAATAAATATGCCCAATCAAAAAAAATTTTACGTTGGAAGACATTGTGGTAAAATGACAAGCAAAAGAAATGAATGTTATCTTTAAATTAACAACAAAAAAATCTTGACAAAAGAAAATACATAGTAAGTCATGGCCATTCTCTCCTATTACACGTATCCTCCGGGACAAAAACCAAATTTCTTCGATAATTCGTCTGGCAGAAATAACGACACGAATATTGCCCATTCTGCACGTTCCTTCCCTTATATCTTACTTCACGTGCGTCGGAGAGCTGCGCATTTCACATCATTCGCATAACTCAGTGACGTGCGTCTACTCTAAAATTTGCATAAATTTCTGACCACTCCTTCTTGGTGTTGCATTTTCAATGTCGAACAGTGTATTTCTAAATACAACGCCAGTTTATATTATAACTAAAATGAAACAACGAAATGCATTTTCATAAGTAGGCCCTAAAATTAAAGGTATATATATATGTGTGTGTGTGTGTGTATGTATATATATATATATTTATATATGAATTTTTATTTTTATTGTACTATATTATTATGCTTTCCCTTCCCAGTCTGTTAATGATATCGTCGGTAACAAGCTCAAAACATCTGCATTCTGTGCTGTTTCGACTTGCATGCATTTTATGCCGCATTTCTCAGATCCTAAGATGTACCAATTAATTTCAGGACCACTAATATAGGAAATTTTCAAAGTGTACTGTTTAGTTTCAGCACCTCTAATATAGGAAATTTTGAAGGTGTACCAATTAATTTCAGTACCACTAATACAGAAAATTTTGAAAGTGTACCAATTAATTTTAGTACCACTAATACAAGGAATTTTGAAGGTGTACCAATTAATTTCAGTACCACTATCATAGGAAATTTTGAAGTTGTACCAATTAATTTCAGTACCATTAATGTAAGGAAAAAAAACGAAAGCCTCTGACACCATTTGATTGCAGCTGTGCGTAAGAATGCTTTTGCACCATACACTTTACTAATAGCACGATCAATCTCTGTAGGGTTAAGATGTTTTGTCCACAAAAATCATACTTTTCCTGATCCGCTTACAAAGAAAATTATTAAGAAGGGGGAAAAGAAATGAAGAAAGATGGAAAAGAAAAGCTAAGACAGGTCCTTTGGTCTCAACTGGGAACCTTTGCTTTATTAAATTTTATTTTTTATCGAAGATCAACTTTAGTAGTTACTGCACTGAAGAATCGAAAAATTTAGAGTCATGATTCCCGAAAATGTTTTTCTTCAGTCCTAGATATCCTAGAGATAAAATATTAGATAACCCAGGTAATAAAAAAAAAAACTGTTATCTGAAATCTTCAGATTACGGTCTAGTGCTGGGGTAGGTAAATACTTTTAACTATGGATCAAAAAGATTTTTTAATCAATAATGCAAGTAGGATCGTGACGATCTTTTGCGGCTTCCTTATTGTTTGCAGAATGCGATGAGGAGACAGAGGGAAATACTCGGATACCTCTCCCGAATGAAATTTTTTAAAATATAAAATTTAATATTTTTAATTCGTATATTAAAAAATTACGCCCAAAACGGGATGTATTCTTATTAGTCATCAAATGATTGAAAAATTTCATTTTCAAATAAAAATTTAGAGGTGAAATGTTCTTTCCCACAGCTTCCTTTTGATCAGTATTTTTAATCTAAAATATATTCATATTTTTTCTGAAATTAATATATTCACATTAATTCTGAAAGTAAAGATGCTAGATATGATTATAGTTCAGTGGATGGACATGCTTTTCTAAGACATCTAGTGATCTCAGTTTGATTTGGGGGGGGGGGGGGGGGGGGGGGGGGGGGGGGGGGGGGGGGGGGGGGGGGGGGGGGGGGGGGGGGGTGGGGGGGGGGGGGGGGGGGGGGGGGGGGGGGGGGGGGGGTGGGGGGGGGGGGGGGGGGGGGGGGGGGGGGGGGGGGGGGGGGTTTCGAAGGGGGTGGGCAGGGGTAGGGGGGGGGGGGGGATCAATATATGCCAAAAAAAAAAAAACAAAAAAAAAAAAAAAAAAAAAAAAAAAAAAATAAAAAAAAAAAAAAAAAAAAAAAAAAAAAAAAAAAAAAAAAAAAACAAAAAAAAAAAAAAAAAAAAAACTCAAAATCAAAAAAAAAGGATTGAGCAGAGGCACTGTCCTGCTGGTCGCGGGGGGGGGGAGGGGGGGGGGGGGGGGGGGGGGGGGGGGGGGGGGGGGGGGGGGGGGGGGGGGGGGGGGGGGGGGGGGTGGGGGTGGGGGGGGGGGGGGGGGGGGGCTGGGGGAGGGGGCGGGGGGGGGGGGGGGGGGGGGGGGGGGGGGGGGGGGGGGGGGGGGGGGGTGGGGGGGGGGGGGGGGGCGGGGGGGGGGGGGGGGGGGGGGGGGGGGCGGGGGGGGGGGGGGGGGGGGGGGGGGGGGGGGGGGTGGGGGGGGGGGGGGGGTTGGTGGGTGTACCACCGCAGTTACAGAGACGAGATGAAAATGTCGTTACACAGGATTTCATAGTGCTCCGGATTAAACAATTAGAAGGGTCGCATTCAGCGCAGCTTTTACCAAACCTTATCTAACACCTTGAAAAGTTAAAAAAAGTTTAGAAAACATTTTTAAAGAATATAAAATTCACAAGACTTTAAAGGTATTGCAGTCTGCTCTAGGAATACAGATTACAGTTTAATAGCTGAAGGAATTAAATAAACTAAACAGTTAAGAGAGGCCTATTAAAATCTTCTGCTTAAAATGAACTGTTCGAATTTATTTGAGTAAATGCTTAACATATAACTTTTTCAAATTGTATTACAACCTTTATAAAGTAGATACAACATTTGCAGGTTGCATCTACCTAACGAGAACCTTTTCAACACTCCGTAAACAAACTGTGGTTATGGAATCAGTGTTTGGAGAGATGTAGATTTGCTAACATTAATTCTTTCTCGTAAAACAAATCAGTCAGAGACGCAACGATTGTCAAAAATTATGTTTCTCTTCGCAGTAAAAATGTTATTTAATAGGCCACACAAAGAAGTCATATGATGCCCGCATCAGATTTTTAAAGGACTATTCTTAAAAGTTTTCTTCATTAAACGCAGATCTGAAATTTTGCATAATTAATTAAATTAAAATTCTTTTCCTCTTTTTTTTTCCTTCTTATTCTTATATGAAAAATTGCAAAGATTAGAGATTTTAATTCTAAAAAAAAAAAAAAAAAAAAAAAAAAAAAAAAAGTTCATCTCATTTCTATTAAATGATATTTTGTATTCAATTATACATATGAAGCAAAGAAAAAGGACTAATTTCAACATTCATTTCCAGAAATAGGATTTTTTTATTTAATATCATAAATAATAAATAATGAATAAAATAACAATGAAGCAGAATGATTGACTGATTTCTCGATAAGCTCCACTGTAGAATTCTGTAACAGGAATGAAAAATAGTTAATTAAAACATTTTAAAGTTCAACGCTTTGTAAACATTTAAGTATCGTAATCCATATTCATAAAATGTGAGGAAAGAAAGGGAAAAGAAAAACGAATACTTGAAAAGCTAATGGTAATAGGGAAACGACTGTTTTTAGCTACACATAATTATCCTGATAAACTACAACTTAAGAAATAACTATTTATAAATACGTATAACTGCATATCAAGGTAAAAAGAATACTTGAAAAGCTAATGGTAATAGTGAAATGACTGTTTTTAGCTACACATAATTATTCTCATAAACTATAAATTAAGAAATTACTATTTATAAATATGTATAATTGCATATCAAAGTAAAAAGAATTTCATAGCGTTTCGCCATGTATCAAAAATTGTCTCCTGACCCATTGCTGCATTGTTATCCGCAATTCTAAAATCATCGAAGTCACTTAAAATTCATTAAAATTAACGCAGAATATAGGAAAGAGATATTTAACAAGTCTAACGTACTTATGCAAGTTAAGTACCTAAAATTAATTTTTCAGTTTTCCAAATATTTTCCTTGATCTCAATGTACGTAGCATTGCGATCCGTTAACCCTCGAATAGCAGGTAGAAGAGTTTTTGTCACAATATTCAAACCATTCCTGCAAGACATACTTCAAACAATCACCTTACTGTAACATGAACCCTGCAATTGCTGCTTCAGTTTTTTAAACAAAATGACATCACATGACCAGACTTTTAAACAAAAGGACGTCGCAGAGCTAGTGAATACGGTTGGTTGATAAGAGAAGCTGAAAACAGTATTATTGCAAGACAGTTTGCGGAAACCGGAGGTGTACTCGAAGATTGCTGTGCAAAAGCAGCACTTTTCTGCTGACTTTGTCACGGCGTTTTACCTTTGCTGTTTGTCATAAATGAATCAGTTGGTAAACATAATAAACATTGCTATCGTGGTATTACTTGGGATATAATCAAAAAGAAATGTTTCTTTTTTTCTTCACAAAAGAATAAGAATTATCATCTTCCCGCGAGATTTCTGTGTGGGGTCAGAAAGATCCATTAAATTTCTACGCTTTGCTGTCTTGCTTCGTTTCTGAGTCAAACTTCATTTGCAAGAACCATGTTTAAGCTCTTTCTACTGAACCATTGAATGTGAAAAAACAATTAGACCCTTATCATGGAAAGCAGTGCTTCAGAACAATCGACTCATGTTTTTTCCCTTTCTAGTGTCAATCTTCTAGGTAACCACAGAACGAAAGAAAGAGGGGCAAGAAAAATAGATCTTGACTTATTCTGGAATCAGGAGGGTATTTGTGATCTGAAGGCCTAATTATATAGCAGCGGTTTTCAACCGTTTGCCTAACGCGTACCATCTAAACAAAAATCGAAAACCTTTAGTATCACCGCTACATTTTAAAATCATTATTTTTTAATTTCTCAAAAACATTTAAAAAAATTTTTCCTTTTGCACAACCCATTTTGCACAATTTCCATTTAAATTAAAATTTTTCCATTTGCACAATTTCCATTTCCATTGCAAATAGGCAATATTGCCTATTTGTATTAAATATGAACACATAAAAATATTAGATTACAAATTGGTTACCATTTTAATTAGCAAACTTTTAGTTATAATACTTTAATTCTAAAAGTTAGTATGAAATTTGAGCCTCTTTAAGAGAGATCAATTCCTTTATATCTGGTCTTTTTCACTTAGTTTTAACCGTAAATTAAAATCCACTTTTAATTTTGTTCTGTATTTCATGGAAGCCAATCCTTGTTCACATAAATAGGTTGTGCAAAAGACCAATAAAAATTAATAGCTTTATTTGAAATGCCTTAAATTTTTTTTCAGAGTTCAGCTTTTTTCAGTGTTCTTCAGAAACAAACGACGATATTCTAAAAATCCCGTAGTAAAGTAAGAAACACAAAGGAACAAGAAGACAAAATACCTGCTGATAAAGACTGAAAATCGATGTGAAAAAGTTATTCTAATTGAAAATAGAGCAATAGCAGCACGGAAATGGTGGTGACATGAAGTGTAGACATGCTAATAAATAAATCATCTCTAAAAGAAGTAATGAGATACTGTTATCTTTTTTATAGGAATTTATATTTATTTTTTATTAAATACTACATCCATTTCTATTACTCCTTTTAAAAACATCATGTATGAAAAATTTTGTTATGTCTGTGGCTAAAAGAATATTTGCGAAAATAAAAAAGCATTACTTTGCTAAAGTTTATGGGCGGCCTTGAACGGCATTCAGATCGCATAAATTTACGAGTGGATAGAGAAAATTCTTAAACAGGATGTTGGGATATTTAATTATTGAATTTAATAGTTTAAAATACTTTGTTTCTTTGCTTACCACCTATTTTTCTCTTGCGTATCACCGGTTGAGAATCGCTGGCATATAGCATTTACTAGATTGTATCCTAGCCTACCTAATTTGGCATTTCGAACAATATTCGCATCAATAGTTATATAGCACCACTAACAAATCTATCCTTTAATCATATTTAGTCATAATGAGTAAAATACCATGGTAACTACGGTCATTCTTTCGTCATGACTTAAACCACTCTTCAACGACCATTTTGCAAATGACAGTCACCGATGGCTAATGATTTGGTGTTCTGAACAGCAGACGATATTCGCTTGAAGAAATGGCGTCACTCTCTTAAAATATTTATCGCCTAGGGGGTCTTAAAAACGCAATGTGTGCTCAAAGGAGAGGCATTTTTAAGCGCATTTGTTAACTGTGTTCAGACACTGAAAATTATTAATATTGCGGTAACGAATTACCTCCGACAACCATGAATGCTTCCGCTGTTACCGTCTGGAAATGTGGAGCATCTGTTAAAACTTCGCAGCGAAACATGCCTGTTGAAGTAAGCTCCAAATCTCGTAATACGACTGATGTATTCGTAGTTTGATTCAGCTGTAAGTAAAATGATAAAAAATATATTATTCGTGTAAAGGATATAAAATTGAATAATATAGAATTGAAGGCCTTGGCTAAAAGCATTAGGCACCCAGATGTTTTTAAGATCTTTAAAAGCAAGTGTCAGATACAAAAATGTTTATTTGCATACAATTATAAATTTCTTTTAAAATTATTACATATTATAAAAAATAAAAAGAAACAAACAATTCAACTAAGCATTCATTTTTTATCGTTTCCTTCAAAAACAGGTTTTGTTAAAATTGGTAAGCAACTTTGTTTTAGTGAAATTTCAGTTATTGTGTTGTGCTAGTTGTGTTGGTTTTCATTTGGATTTTTATCGAAAATACCAAAATGCAATGTTAAAAAGCGGTATTAAAGCCTGTTCTTAAAATAAGAAAAAAAAAAAAAAAAAAAACTCGTGCGTTGCCAAAATTCTGAAATGTTCATGTTGCGCTGTACAACATACTTTGGAACGTTTTCAGGAAACAGGTTCAGTCTTTGACAGAAAAAGAACTAGGTGGTAAAAAGTAACATTGAAACGTGACGATAAAAGTTTTATTTGAAAATATAATGAGAAATCGAAGAAAACATTCTCGTGAGCTTACGACATGCAACATGCGACGGAGGACGTGGGCACCACCCCTCTACCAATACGGTTAATCGGTATAGCGCCATGTCCACCTTTATCTAGATAACCATACATGTTCATTGTGCTAATATACTAATATATAAACTTACACACAAATTTGGTACTTCATACAGTGGCGTTAAAGCTAATTAATGTTAGACACTGGATAATACATTGCCATGTTACAAGGTGTATGCAAAAGCATGGATACGGTAGCATATATACATAACGTGTGTACTCATATGTTGAGATTACAGAAGACATGTACATACTGAAATACTAGGTGCGCAATGTTATGCTGGAATAAGTAATTAGTACAGTGAATTAAAAGTTAGACCCTAGATTAGTACTGTGTGGTACAGTGTCTTGCTACTGAATTATTTGTACTGTTTCCTAAGTAATTAACCATGTACAAAGATATTAAAACACGTGTATTAGGTACACAGTAATTAGTGGATACCCAAGCGTTAGGTTAGTGCTACTTTAACATACATTAACAATAGGTACTCGATACAATGCTGAACAGATAATTGGTGCAATTAATTGTAGAGTGAGGCTCTAGTTAGTTCTTTGCGATATTGTGCCGTGTTACAGGATAAAATGTGCAGATGCATAGTTACATTATCATATATACAGAAGATAAATTCATATACATATATACAGACATTTCACATTAGGTACATGATTATTCAGTGCGTAATAGATGTATATTAACTATACAGTGCCAAGTATGTGATAACCTAGTAGATACTGGGTACAATTAATAAAGCAAGGACATACACAATTACAATAGACAAAAGCGTATATATGCTTATATTTGGTACATAATAGTCATTGGTGACATAAACATTTGGTACTTACTTCATATACTTTAACTCTAGATCCATAAAATAATGTTAGAACTAGTAATAGGTGCTATTAATTCATAATAGGACACTAGGTTGATATTTTGCCTTACTGTGTCACGTTACATAGAAATGTATGCGGGGCATGGGTACACTTCCTCCTATTACAATGCTATACTGTTTTCCTATTTACAATGCTTATATCATTCGATTTCATAATCAATAGGTACACGACACATTTATATACGAGTACATGAGCAGATGGCACATTGTAGAGTGCCGTTGAGGATAATTGATGCAATTAATTTTATAGTATTTTAAAAATAATGCATTTATACGCAATTATAAGGTGCATAATTGTCATTGGGCCGAATTATTGTCACCGAGTTATGGGTGATTGTTTTACTTATGGCAATTACGTAAGCCGTTTATGGGTGATTGTTTGACTTATTTTACTATAGCACAATGAAGCATCAGCTCTTTGTGATGAAATGACTGTCGATTACGAGGGCAGTCTGAACATCTTTAAGCAAAGTAGATTCATAAATACCCTAAAGTTCCAAACAAACTGATGCGCCAAACTAATACTTACGGATCGAGACAATACAACACAGAGTAGAACTGTAAACGCTTTTAATAACATTCTAGATGTATTCGATAACGTTAGACAGTGGCGTAGCTAGAGTGGGGCAAGGGGGGACTTCTGTCTCCGGGAACAGCATTCAGCGGCGCCGAACTGATGCTAGGAAATTTTAGAATGGAACATTTTTCATTCTTGGCACACAGAAAGGGGCGCAAGATCTTCAGTTGTCCCGGCGCTGAAAACCTTAGCTACGCCTCTGACGTTAGATCAGGTAACTTCAATGGTGATGAGAAGATTCGAAACTCAGAAGCGTGATCTTCTAACCTTACTTGATGTCTCTAATCTTGAACACTTGTGTGTTATTCTAAGAAAGGATGCCTAGGAGGTCATCAGAATTAGAGCAAGGAGCGGATTGGAAAATTTCATCAGCAAGAATGTTCACATATAAGAGACGTTCGCAGACGTACCAGAAGCTGAGTGAATACCATCTAAAAAACTCCATACAATTACCATCAATTTGTATAATTTCCTATTGACATGTAAAATCTAGAGATTCATTCTATATGCTTACCCACAGATACCTCCATCTATTCAAAACAGTTGGAGATACACTGCTCAGACTAGGCTATTTGTTTCCTGTCATCATAATTCTCGGCCAATTGTATAGCTCTGTGTCATGCATTCATCGGAGATACTTTGGTTGGATGCCAGTACTTAACGTCCATACAATGAATCCTTCATTGATGTTTATTAAATCCCAACACTGAATTTCGATGCTCTTTGAAACAAAGTTGTACCCCAACCACGTGAACTGATTTTTCTCAGCTGATATTTGTCATGTCGTCCAGAGGCTTTTCTTGTGCAACATTGTTGTGGTAAGGTCGTTTAACCGGAATTCTTCTATTTACGATACACTTTTGAAATGGTTAGACGTGAAATTTAAACTTTTGCCTCTGCCTACAAAATGTTATGACTCCTCTCACGATTTCCAACCATCTGACATCGTTAAAATTCCACTTCAATCTAAAAACTTGACATTCACGTGGCCAAAACAAAACTAAAGCTTCCTCAGATGTACATCAATTTATACGTACAATTAAAAACTCGTGTGATGATCTTTAATGAGCAGAACTATAAATTTTTTTCTACGGAAATATTATGGGAGCAAGTGACGCTTTGAAGCACAAACACAAGCAATAAGACAGTTAATTTTCTCTTCTTTTATGGAAATACAAACTATTAACTTACAGCATTGTCTAAAAGTGCTTCTTTACAGCAATATTTATAATAACTCCTCTAAATTATGCCCACCAACACTGACGCATGCTTGACAGCCTAAATTTGAAAAATGGCTTGCAGTTTCAAAGATGCCAACATTTTTCCTACCTTTGCAGCCGCAACGGATATTCTCATAAGAATCGAGACTCGAGAAATCGGGGTATCCAACGAACTAGTCCACTACAGCTAACCCATAGTGCCCCAAAAGTGGTATTCGGATAATTGCACAGATCCATGCTAAAATGAGCTGGCTTCGTTTTGCGCTGAAACCACTGTCGATTACGAAGGCAATCAGAACATCTTTTAAGGAATCAGGAAAAACATTTACCAGAAAGCGCTGAAATTGAGACACGCTCGTAGTAGATATGAGCCTGGCAGGAAGGTCATTCAAAATACTCACCCACACATTCACAAAGATTCATTTTAGGAAAGGATGTTAAAGTTTAGTGTTACGTTTGTGGCTACCCACACTTGAGAAATTCGCACAATGAAAATACATTCGTGTAATAAAAAATCACATTATCTGTAAATCGCAGATGAGCTGGGAAATCTGATTGCAATGTACTCTGCTGCAAAAACTACTGGCAGAATCCCATACGCAGAGGGTAATCTGGTTTTCAACGCTTGAGTTATCTGAACATGGGATGGGTGCAATAGTTCTTCATTTAACAGTCTCCAAACGGTAGACTGAATGACAGCTAAGCGAAATAAAGTAGCTCTTGCATTTGTGTCGGATCTATCTTCCACAAGGTTCCGTTTCTTACCCGCTCCTGTACAATGAACCAGTTTCACCAACTTGGCTTTGTAACCTCTCAAACAATTTATGGTCGGACATTGGTAAAGGATTCTTCATACATTCGTGGCACTGCTCTGCCATTACCATTTTCAGCTGCATAGATTAGATGCATGTCTATCTTCTCGGTATTCACAAAGTCAACGAGGACCATACAGTCGCAAATGGCATATTCCCATAGATCTGCTGATGAGAGGCATCGGACATCGTTGGTGGTTCTCCAGGACTTCTATTTGGCGTTGTACTGTGAGGCCTTTGGCTGGAAATCGGAAAATAAGCGCTTTTGCGCAACTGAGATTAATATCTAAGTTAAACAAACATGAAAATGTTATCTTCTATATGGGAAATAGAAAAAAGAAAAAAATATTCGAGAAAGCTCTAAAAGTCGAGCTGGTGAGTTTCGTTCGCTAAAGGCAGAATTTGGAGAATGACAGTGCCCCTAGCACCAACTGGCGATTGGAAAACGAGTTAGTCTTAAGAAAGTCTTTGGTAAATATGGAGTTCATTGTAAATTCCTTGTAAGGTTTCAAAATGAAAAATTGGGATGATTTACGATTACTAATAGTTGAAATATAATAAACATAGATGAAGAAAATTATGTATCAAGAAATTGTATCCTTGCTATGAGGAGGAGTAGAATTTCACAATTTCTTGATATATAAAAGCAATGAGGCAACTTTGATGGAATGATTAGCTTGTGCTCTTGGCAGCAGAAGGCTGTAGGTAGCTTGCCTCCCATAAATTTCATGACTCTCAACGCATTTTATTATTCTAGTGTTAGCACATTTATATACTTTGCAAATAATTTTCTTTGATACTTTTAATATCAACATCGTTCTGGTCCACACAGTACAGATGAGCTTATGCAGATTACATAGCAGACAGCAATCTGCTTTGTATTCTGGATAAGCTCACCTGTACTTTTTTTTCGTTTAGAAATGTAATGTATAAGAACAAAGAAGCTTCAGTTTTATAATTAACTGTATATACATTTAATGCATATTCCGGTTAAGCTCATCTGTGGATAAGCTCATCTTCATTTCGAGATGGAATGCATAACAACAAAGAAGCTTCATTTTTAAAAATTACCCGAATATACATTTAATCCAAGCTTATCCAAGTCTACGTTCTTTTTGAACGACATTCAGTGGACTTGATTTATTAGTAGTTTTATAGTGATTATGTAGTGGACTCGGTCTAATTTTCAAATGAAGAAAAGGAATCATACTTACATCTAATTTTATTCCACGGCTAGGAAAAAACATTGTACTAGGTTCTTCACTGGGCGAAAATCTGAAGAATTCCTGGTCATTGTGAAACCACTTAATAGTGTATAGAATATCGCCTTCCAGATCGAATTCGCAAGTTAATATCACATCTTTCCCTTCAGGTCGACTTTCAGGTATGCGAAGAAATAACAGTCGGAGACAGTAGGAAACTGTTACATAAAAAAATACATGATCAAAAAGCATTCACACATCACAAAAAAATACGTGATCAAAAAGCATTCACACATCACAAAAAAATACGTGATCAAAAAGAATTCAAAACAAAAGGAATTTTTTTTTTAATCTAAAAGATTTCAGATTTTATATAACTACTAAAGGGGCTTTTTTTAACGTTTTGTGTGTTACCGTTACTTATTAAATATCACGTTCTTCGCACTTAAACCATAAAATTCAATTCAACAGTAATGTCACAAAATATTTAAAAGTGCAGATCTTTAGAATTTCCGATACACAGTCTCGCGGGCTGCAGATAAAAGTGGTTTCATTTTTTTTTTTTTTTTTTTTTTTTCCGTACAGTGCTGCCATTGCGCCCTTTGAAATCATTGAGTTTGTTAATCAAAAATTCATTAAAATTTTACAAGATATGAAATAGATAATAAAACGAATTCCAAATTCCGGATCTGGGCTTCCAGATGCCCATATTAGGATGAAGAACTACGTTATTCAAAATGTGATGTCTCTAGGTACCATCGTTTTTTCACAGTGCGAGAAGCATACATACATACATTCATGCAGATCCTTCATTATTTAATTTCTTTAAATATTATCAGGGCTCTAATATTTGGTGGCAACAATTTAAAAAGTCAACCGACATATATAGTGAATCGACGCAAAATGCCAAAACGAAATTAATAGCCCTTCTGGGGAAATTGCCCCTTTGGGCTTGTAGAGACACTAGGATTTTTTGGAAGTAGGAGAATTGAAAAATTAGCAACACCTTCGCCGGGAATCGAACCACAGACCTCTGAAATACCGGCTCAGTGTGCTGACCACTACACTACGAAGGCGGGAAAAATACCTTATATACTCCCGCTTTTAAATGGCGACTGGGGTTTTTAGGGGACCCAATCCCCAAATCCTGGGTCTGGAGATTCATCATCCACGACCCTTTTAGTTCGGGCGCCCTTTTAGTAGAGACCGTTTTAGTAGAGACATTAGGATTTTTGGAAGCAGGGAAGATGAAAAATTAGCAAAGCCTTCGCCAGGAATCGAACCACGGACCTCTGAAATATCGGCTCAGTGTGCTGACCACTAAACCACCAAGGCGGAGAAATACCTTATAGGCTTATAAAAGTTTAATTAGCATTCAAAATTCATCTGTTTCTTAGTATTTAAAAATGTTGAGCATAATTTATGCATTTTAAAATTTTATTTTTCTAACCTCATATTTTAAATTTTTCATGTTGCTTTTCATATAAATAAAAACTTAGTACCTTAACGGCTTCGTGTGCATTATTTCATAGAGCATTTATTATTAAACGAAGTTTCTGCGTTAATTATTAAACGAAGATTCTGACCTCTGTTATTAAATAATAAAGAAACTGTACTAAACGTATGTTTTTTTCTCGCATTACAGAAAAAAAAAAGAAAAAAAAAAAAAAAAAAACATTCAAGGCCATTACAGAAAAATGTGCGAATCATCCTTCACATCGTAATAACTTCCTCGCTTTGTGGCGATACCTAAAACCACAATTTTATACAACGTGCTCCTCCAACTGAATTAGAATCAGAAGCTTGTAGACTTTAGGATTCTGATGCATGTAAAGTAAATAATCAGAGATGTAACATTTATTGATGACTGATGACTTCGAAAGCCTCTGCAGTTTGGGCTCAGAAATCGATTTTTTCCCGTTCTCTCCGGAAGATTAACAAAGTATATTGTGTTGAATTATCAGATAATAAGAAATCTCTCTTTGATGCAAATCAGTGCCTCCCATTCTGATTAAGAAAGAGCATAGTCGTCCCAAGAAACAAAAAACGTTTTCCCGGAATGGCTAAAAAAGGATATTGCTACACTATTTTAAATAAAAATATCGAGCAAAATATTAATCCCATTGAATACTGAGAGTTGTATGGGTGGGCTCCCAACTGCACAAATGAAAATCCTCCCCCCCCCCCGTTCTGCTATAGTCCAACTGCATGAATCAAAATTTCTTTTCCCCGTTGCCTACAGGGTTTTAATTTAACTTTTCGAAGCCAATTGTAGCCAAGGGAAAAATAAAAATAAAGAAATAGAATTACATATCAACAATCAGAACAAGTAAAGAATACCTACCAAGCAGGTTAATTACTTAAATAACAGTAATAAATGGGAGAGCTAACAAAGAAAATAAAAGGTATTGGTAAACATACATATTAGCACTACAAACATCTTTCATTGATTACAATATTAGAGCAACAAGTATTATAATAATATCATAAATTAAATAATTATAAAGCACACCAATTATATTTTTTATAAATTGCATCAATAATAGTCAAGATGTCTGAACTAGACTGGAAAATTTAATATAGTTCACTGCCGTGCAAAAGATTATTCCGAATCAAAGTGTGCTAGAAATATTTTCTTTAAAATAATCATGTAATTTATTATAACAACATTAGCATGAAATTTATTATAACAACATTACTATGGGTTTGGAACACTGACGTATAAATTGTAAATAAATTAAAATTATTATGCTAAGACGTTTTTTCTAAAATTTATCTAGAAGAAAAGAATTAGATAAGCAGTACTGCAAATTAATATAATCAATCAAGCCTCTCAATAAATAAAAGCTTATTTATTTAACCAAAAACTAAAAATTGAGATGCAAAAGTTTGTGTAATATACTTGGAAATATCTGAACAGATAATTAATTAGAAACGTATAATTAAATTAATAACGAGCTAATTAACAGTAACATTAAGCTTAATTTCATTTAATCTAAAACAAGCAATCGATCAGGATCTCCACATAACTGAAGTTTTATTGCTATTTTGCGTAGATTTGCGTACAAAATAAATATTTGCACTTGTGAAACAAGTGAATAAATAATATACTGACAGGCAACAGGAATTAAAATACAGTGGTTAAAAATATATAACTACTTGTCAGGTATGCAAAGTTACCATAGCCACAGAAATTGAATGATTATAGAAAAGACATAAAGTTAAGCGCTACAAAGTGAAAAGAAAATTCTGGAATAAACATGTTAAGAAAATTAGATGGAAAAATAATCCTTAATTTATTGACATGCATATAAACTCCATGCTTTTGGAAAAGGTTACATATAATTTGTACCGATGTATATTCCGAATTAATTTCTTTTTATATTTTTTCTTATTAAAGAGATTTGTAAAAAGATATGCTAAGTAAGACAAAGGTGAAAATTTGTGCAATATTTTTAAAGAATAAATTAACAAAATATTTTTGCTTCATGACTGAACTGAAATTTTTACTATACATTTTTACACAGTAAATAAGTACAAAAAAAAAAAAAAAAAAAAAAAAAAAAAAAAGAAGAAAAGAAGAAAGACCTGAGGGATTTCTGGGATTAGAAACTCGGGTCGAACTATCAATGTTTAGTGACTTTTCCGCTTGATCATAAGACCTTTTGAAATTAGGCTGAACAATATATTAAAGAAAATAGAAGATACAGCATACATAAGAACAAAAGTGGGCTGAATTAGAGATTTACATGTTTGGTGAATGAGTTAAACTTATCTGTATGCCATTCTGAAATATTAGGTTAGGTTAGGTTAGGTTATTTAATTACGGCAAAGCCTCGAGGGCTATCTGCCTACGGGAATGGATGCCTTCGTGGAGGACTTTCTAAGGGGAACTGGCTCGTATACACGTTACACATGGTGAAAATCACGAAAACACCCATTCCAGCCCGTTCGCGGGATTCGAACCTCGGACCGAACTACCAGTGTTCAGCGACTTTTACCGCTCGGCCGCTGGTGGGCCCTCTGAAATATTAGGAAGGTAGCATAAAAACATCAGCGAAGAAGGCAATGGCAATGTAAATCATTGTAATCTAAATGTATAACATTATCAATATCTGCTACTAAATTCAATACTGCTAAAAAATTATAAATGAATTCTATTATAAATCATATGAACTTGTTGCATTATAAGTTACAACAATTAGAAATATTATTAGCGTGATTTAGCGACTATCTTTGTTAACAAATAATTTCAAATACTCGTAATTAATTTTACAAATACGTAATTCAGCCTGAAAATAGGTTAGAAAATAAGCTGCATGAAGATTAAGCTTTACCAAGGTGTTAGAAAAATCTTCTCTTAACTAGAGTTATGATGCAAATTTGTAAAAATTATCATTTAAATATTAATTGACATAAATACAATACAAAATATATAAATTCTACATACATGAAAACTTGAATACAGTGCAATAAACAATATGTGAAAAAGGAATGGATAAAAAGGGAACTCAAAATCCCAAGATATGAATATAAGGGAGTTCGAATTTTTTTGTTAATTATGAAAATTCTGCAGACGCTCATAATTATCAATTTATTAATTAAATGTGTATTAGAAATTAAATGTATGCCAAAGTACATCAGGTAGTGTAACTGGAAAACAGAATAAATATTTAAACGTTTCTAGTATTAAAATGTGGACTTTGTAAGAAAGTGAAATAACCTTAAAATAACTTCAATGACTAAAACTGCAAAGCTTAATATGGCAATATTTTGCAATAATATTAGTGTGAATTTAGAACCACTTAAAAAAATCCAAATTTTAGATTTAATAAAGAGAATTGTTTAAATTAAATTAGAACTGTTTACCTAAAATAGTAAATTTGAATGTTAAAAACCAATCTCCTATCTAAGAAGATTTGTTAATATTTATCTAGACAAGAAAACTTATTTAAGGTGCGCTACAATCCGATATTTGATAGGTTTAATTACGTATCAGTTTTGTGCATGCCATTAATCTATCAATTTTATTATTCAAAACTGATATATATATATATATATATATATATATCAGTTTTGAATAATAAAATCTACAATTATATATATAATATATATATATATATATATATATATATATAATTGTAGATTTTAGTCGCTGATATATATATATCATATATATATAATAATATAGAAAAAAGTCGCGCTGTTCGTCTATTAGATAAGAGGGGGGGGGATCTTCGATTGAAATATCAGTTGATTTTTAAATCGCTCTTAAAAAGTAAATTGTTTCATTTGTAAAAATAAATCAAATGCGCAGTTAAAAATATTTTGTTTCATATTGAGTCTCATTCATATACAAAAGCAATATAAACAGAAAGAAAACAGACAAGAAATTGATTTGTTAACTATTATTTATCTATGGAAGTTAATAATTGCTATTTTTGGTCTAATAGGAAATCAGAAAAAGGCTTCAAGATTCATTGAGAAAAAGCCTGACTGAATTAAACAATTTTAATTCTTTTAAAAATAGTTATTTTATATTTTGATTTTTTAATTTTTAAAATTTTGCTTTTAATTTTATTTATTAATGATTACATTAATTTTATCATTCAATATAAAAAAGCTTTTTTCGAATTAATTTATTACATTAATTTATAATTCAGTTTATTTTGTAATTGTGTTTTTATTTGTTTGTTTCTTATGAAGTATTTAGAAAAATTAGTAATTTTGAAATATACATATATATATAGAGAGAGAGATTATTCCTCTTTGCTGTATTTACTAAATCTACTCCCTTGAAAAAGAGCAAGGCTAAATTAAATCTTTTTTTTTTTCTTTTAAAAATCTATTTATATTATTCTGATTTTTTTTTACTTTTAAAATTGTTTTTTTAATTTGTTTTAATAGACTTCGAATTAACCATAATTTTGAATTAATCATGGACGTCGTGCTCGGTATCACCACGGCAAGTCGGAAGTTGACTGCAATATAAAAATTAATCTTACACTAATAAAATAAAATTCTTTATTTACTTATTTATGAAACCGTTGGAATATTTTCGAGAGCAGTGTAGACATATTAGTTAGTTCATATTAAGCCCCTTTAAGAAGAAATGAGAAAAAGGCGAGCTCACGAATTTTTATGGCAAATTTAATTAGAGAAAATTGTACAGTTGTATATACGAGGGCCATCCGGAAGTATTACGTTTCCGTCTGTGTCCGCTAGGGGCGGGGCTAGCGCGGCCATCTTGGGTCAGAGCGTTGCGGCAGCTCAGTCTGCATCTAGCCGTGCTAGTGAGAGGTTCGTGCTGTGCTCCGTTCAGATACTGTGACGGTTTTGAAATGTCTGCGTTAATTGAAAATCCTGCGAGGTGCGCTCATAATAAGGTTTCTGACTGCAAAAAACTGTAAACCGATAGAAATCTATCGGCAGCTTCGTGAAGTGTATGGGGACAACATATCACTGAAGTTGGAGTGCGTCAGTGGGTATAAGATTTCAAAATGGCCGAACCAATGTTCCGAAGATCGAAGTGGGAGACCAGCATAGTGACAGCCGAACTTCTCGAAAAAGTCGATGCTAAAGTCCGTGAAAATCGAAATTTCACAATAACGGAACTTCTTTGAGTTTTCCACAATTTCGCGAAGTTTGTTGCACGATCATCAGCGAAAAGCTTGGTTACCACAAGTTTTGTGCAAGATGGATTCCAAAAATCTTGACAGAGGACCACAAAAATCAGCGAATGCTGCAGCGTTGAACTTTTTTGGACGCTTACCATAAGGATGGTGACTCTTTACTCGATCGCATCGTTACTGGTGACGAAACATGGGTGAAACATGTGAACTGTGAAACGAATTGGCAATCAATGCAGTGGGGGCACACAAGTTCTCCCCAAAACCCAAGAAATGCATGCAAACAATGTCGGCAAGGAAGATGATGGCGACTGTTTTTTGGGACAGAAAAGGTGTAATTTTGGTGGACTTCCTGGAAAGAGGCACTACAATAAACTCTCAAGGTATTGCCAAACTCTCCAAAACTCAGAAGAGCAATTCAAAACAAGCGCAGAGGAATGTTGAGCTCTAAGATCTTGTTGATTCACGACAACGCCCGGCCCCACACGGCAATGTCACTCGTAAAGTTCTTGAATCTTTTAAGTGGGAGTTGTTTCCTCATCCGCCGTACAGTCCCGACCTGGCACCGAGCGACTTCCACCTATTCCCAGCAATGAAGAAGTGGCTGGCTATGCAGCGTTTTGATGACAACGCACAGCTGCAAGAAGAGGTAACGAAGTGGTTGAAGGCGCAGGCGGGCCGAATTTTTCGACGAAGGAATTTTCCAAGCTCGTACATCGCTACGATAAATGCCTTAATTTGTATGGTGACTATGTAGAAAAGTAGTATTTGAGTGTGGCTTTCATCTGTATATAATAAAATTTGTTTCCTATACTTTGTTTATTTTTTTTATTCCAAACGTAATCTACTTTCTGGATAGCCCTCGTATATTAAACACAGCTTCGTACATTACATTCATATCTGCATTAAATTAAAAAAAAAATTAATATTATAAAACTGCTAGGTTTATTCAGTAGATTCAGTGCATTACAAATGCAAGTAGTGCTAAAATTTCATTCTAACACAAAATTAACTGTGATAAAATATTTCAAATACCTTGAAATGCTGCTAAAAACTGCCATAAATATAAATGTAAAAACTTCATTCGTAAGACCTGGAAAACAATGTACGATATCAGTATATTTGACATTATGAATACATCTGTATATTACTATGAATAAATATATAAAGCAAAAGTTACGGATAAGTTTTGCTAGAAAGATTTTAAGTAAACATAAGACAAGTGAATCGGTTGTAGCCAGAACTCTAGCTTTGTTTTAATAACATATTATTTTATTACACTTGATTAAGATACAGACTTAATTTGATTTTTTGTATCAGGTACAATTAAAGTCAAATTTTCTATATTCATTGAAAATTAATGTAAGTAGATACGTTTGCTGAATCGATTTAGTTTTATAATGCATTCCCGGTATTTTCCAGAACATCAGATCTTTCATGTGCCGGACATGTGAGCCCCATCATCATTCGGGGTCGTAATTTCGAGTACCTTTGTTGTTGTTGTTTTATGCTCATTTGTCTGACGTAGTCAGCCAAAGCTCACGAAATTCCTCGTGGCAAGGAGCGCTAGATTACGCCTGCCGTTGGCAATAGCTTTGAGCACCATTCTGGTCACAGTGCGATTTAGCTCAGTTCCAGCCTCAATTTTGATGGAGAGCACCCGGGGGAACGGATCCGAGGGTCTCCCCCCTATCTCCCCTTCCATCAAACCACACGAGGGGACTTTCGGCTCACCGCATATTTAGACTGCCTCATGCCGCACCGACACTATACATTTACAAACATCTATGCCTTCTCTGGGATCCGAACTCCGGGACCTTCAGCACGGGTCAGCAACGCTAACCAGTATACCGGTTGGGCGACTCGAGTACCTTTGATGACGATCATTGTCCGTTTTTGTTCTATTTCTTGGTTTCTGCTGCACTAGGCATAATAAACATGTTTCCTGCTCCCGTTCGTGTCGATTCTTTCTTGTACTTTGTGTCGTCATAGCCGCGCCAGGAAAGCGTTTCTGAATGATTATAAGACTTCTGAGTTCTTTTTTTTTTTTTTTTTTCGTTTGTTTTTGTTTTAAGAGGTTAGGTCTGTGTAAAAATAGACACCAGGAAATCCTTCCAATGGGTTGATAGTAAGCTTCAGTGAGTATCTTTCAACTGTTGTATCTGTAAAATCATCTCAACAATTGTATCTGTAATCCATGAAATCAACCAAAGTAAAAGAGCTCTTTCTTTTCAATCTATGATCAGAAACCCAATCAGGTACAGTTATGGGTACCATAACTCAATATGGGTGGTATGGCACTCTTTTATGAGTACCACAACCATCCAAACTGAGTATAATACGAATTATACTTTGTTTCTGATGATTGTAAGCTAAAATTACAGCTTAAAAAATGAACTGGACTAGAATCATTACAAACATTGGCTGAAGCTCAAATTCAGTTATTTGCTAAATAGACAATAAAAAGCTGAAGTTAATGTAACCATTGCAGAAAGTAGAATAAATTATATTTAAAATATTAATTTCTCATTATAATAATGAGCCTTGAACTTTTAAACATTTAAACGAAGAACTTTTCTTCTCATCGTATAGAATAATAACAATTTAGATATACGAAAACTCATGTAAAATGACCAACTATTTGATTTATTACGTAAGCCATATTCCTTCAGTTCTAAATGTGTGCACTTGAATTTCAGTCTTACTAACAGAAGGTAATAAAAGATAATAAAACAAATCAAACGTTAAAATTACATACAGCTAATAATATTATTATTATTTTAACAATCGACTTCGAATTAGTGATAACAAGAGTATTTTTATTTAAATTAGTAAATAGTAATTTATAAAAATTTATTGTTTTTTGACTTTAGCAATTTTGAAAATATTCGATTCTAAAATGTCGTCCATTCTAAGAGGTACACCTTTTCTACAACGTTTCTGTGAGTAAAATAATAGAAGATTCAGATCTTAGAATGAAGAGCTATCCTGATATTAAAAATATAAATGACACAGTTTTTATACTTACCTTTTTTCTCCTTTAAACTTTGACTGGCTAAAACATACCTTTACACAAAGGCAAGACTGTATTACTTCGCTGAAGCTCAAGAAGAAAATGACACTTTCCCTTTCGTGTTTAAAACAATATTCTGGACAAAATCTCTTCCCCAATTTATAAAGCCATCGACAAGCAAAATCACTGCTTCATGAAAAAATAAAGCATTCACCGAAGTAGCGGGTGTGGCCCAGTCTTTCTAAACACGCCCCTTTTCCTATTAAACTATGAAAAGATTGGATAAAAATTACTTTTGTACGTCGTTATCAGATAGCACGGATTTGAGATTATTCCCACTTTCCCCTTCTCTTGCCTTGCGAGCTATCATAAAATCCTGTTTCATAGGATATCATCATTAAGACATCTTTTAAACAAATGGTCAATACCTAATAGTATTGGAAGCAGGATTCAGACGCTTGGCCTCAGGACTATAGTCAATAAATCTTGGAATACCCCAAGATTACCTATTTAAACACGAAAATAAAATTAAATTACATTAATAGATAACATTTTTTAAAAGTTATTTTGTTTTTCTTTCTTTTTATTGTTAAAAATCTTCGGCATAGAAAACTATGCATTTTTTATGATTAATAAAAATGTATGCAAGAAATCGCTGGTTTTCCTTGTCTAAAATTATTAGTAAGCAAACATTAAATATTAAAATTAAAAAGTCTAATAAAAATATTCGTTATTTCACATTTTTTTCTTTTATTTAGTTATTCTCTTCGTATTACTGATACATGACATTAGGCATCACACGAATTTTATGTGTAAAATATAAAATGCATCAGTTAATTCTGAAAGTTTCACGTCCTATTTTCAGGAGCTAATTGCGTCAAAAATTGGTCTTAAATTGGCCTTACCTGGAAGTCTAGTTATGAAAATTTAATTAATTCTTCTAGTTCAATAATGAAATGTTTTTTAAGTCTATGGGCAAATTTCCAAAAACATTTGTGTATTGAAAATTAAAAAAAAAAAAAAAAAAAACCTGACAGATTTTACATTATGCTCAAAGGGGAGTTTTTCAACGTTTTGTTTATTAAATATAATGTTCTTCGCCCTCAAACCATAAAACTCAATCTAACAGCAATATCACAAAATATTTAAAAAGAGCATATCTTTAAAATTTCCGATACACAGCCTCAGGCGCTGGAAATGAAAGTGTGATTTCCCCCCCCCCCCTCCGTACAGTGTTGTCATTGCTCGCTTTGAAATCGTTGAGTTTGTTAATCAAAAATTCGTTAAAGTTTTACTAAGTATGTAGCAGCCAATAAAACGAATTCCAAATTCAGGGTTCGGGTGGAGGACTACGTTATTCAAAATTTGATGAATCTAGGTGCCTTTATTTTTTCACAACGAGAGAAATTAAGCGATTGTATCGTTTTCGACCAACCTGTCTTTTTAGCGAAGTCTTGGCGAAAACCCTTTATAAAATTATGACAAAGAGAGTTTTCCATGCATTATTTCATTAAAACCATCTATAACGTAAAAACAATGCGGTTTTATTCCTGGTCGCTCTAGGGAGGAGGCACTGTAAAGTTCTTAACTTTCTTAGAACCTATAAGACTAATAATCATGTCGCGGTGGTCTCAGTCGATGTCTCCTTCGCCTTTGACTTTTGTATCTTGGCCATCCATCCTCTCCTCCTTAAACAGGAATGATATTGGCAGGAGGTAATTTAATTAAAGATTATTTTACCGACCGTTGTCTCACTTACTTGTTTAATCGATTAATAAAAATTAGTAAAAATGTATTTAGACGTTGCCTACAAGGATCTTGCAATGCTCCGCTGTTCTCGGGCCTCATAATTGGTAAATTTTTAAAAACCTGAAATGGAAAAACGAAGGTGGTGTCTTGTGCAATGACCTTCATTTTTTAATAAATGCTGGTGGTTTGGAAAAACTTTAGGAAAAAAATTGATAATTTAATTGCTTATTTCAATACATAGTGTGATAATGAGTTGATGAGGGTTAATGCGACAAAAGCACAGTTTTTATTTTTCCAAAATCTGGCCGCCAAGTTTGTCCCCCAAAACTCAGATTTAATGGAAATAAATCGAAACCGGTAGAACATTTAAATAGTTAGATCTTATGGTACTATTCCGTTTTGAGGACCGTAAAAAAATTGCAGCGAAAATGTGTGCACAAAAGCGTCACATCTAGCGCACGCGCTGATTTCAGATTGCGTAAGTTTATAGTTTTATATTTCTTAAGACGCGATTGAAATACTAGTTTGATTTTTAAATCCTTTTTTGATTTTAAATCCTTTTTTTGATATTCTATGGATTTAACAATTTGAGAATTGCCTATGACGAAAAGTCTGCAATAGAATTTTGGGTAAAGTGCAGAATCACCCTATGCTTGACGCGTTTTCAAGAATTGCACATACTAGGTAACCATGTACACATCGACTTATTTTCACTACCGAAAATTCAATTGTTTTTAACCCTTTTAAAAAGCGGCGAACAAATAAGTGGACGATTCTGCACTTTACCGAGAAATTTTTCAAAGAAAAGGTATCATTCATTATAGAAAATTATGTTTGAACAACCAACGGGATGAAACAATGCTTTATAACTTGGTCGCGAAATAGCGATGCAGGCATCCATTCAGTTATGTTTAGCAATTTTTATATAAATTATAGTAATGATCTGAAATAGTTATTTACTCTTATGCTTCCATTCAGTCATGTTTAGCCTTTTTTATATAAATTATAATAATAAAAATGTATTATATGAAATGAACCTTTCATCTAAATTAAAACATCAATCTTAGATAGTTATTTATTATTATACTTCCTTTCTTGCGTTAGGGTTGCCGCAATTATTTTTGGCAGCACTGGTATCAACAATAGTTTGGCGATTTTTTACGGCCCTCAAAACCGAATAGTACCGATATTATTATTGACTCAAACTTTGTTCAAAATTTTAATTATATACAGAGACATAGAGATGGTATTTTAAATTTCTATAGATGTAATTTTAGTATTGTTATTTTAAATTTAAGAAATCATGTTTTATAACATTTGTACAAAAACGT